TCCTCCCACTACACCTCCAAGAAAAGGGCGTGTGGGACAAGCGAAAGGCGTGAAAGATGAAACAGCAGCGTCATTTGCGAAAGAAATCCAATCTCAGCTCAAAATCTGGCAGACAACTGAGCTTCCTGGTCTCATCAACACTGAGGTTATCCGGGTCTTATTCATGAAACAATCAGAATTGTGGGAGCGCATTGCAGAGGAGCATATCAATGAGGTCGGCAGGTATGTCGAGCACGCAGCCGACAAAATCCTTCGGCAGGTCTGCTCAAGCAGTGGCTGTGAAATCATTCAGAAAGAGCTCTCGGCGGTCATTGCTCAATTTCAGCGACAAACGAAAGAAAGGGCTCTTGCAGAGTTGAGAGAGCACTGCCGGCGCGAGAGAGAGTCCCATCTGCAGACCACGGATGTGAGGTTCCAGCAGAAACTCCAGGCTTTCCGCAGTCTTCGGCTGATGAAGGCTATCGTTTCATATCCGCCCACACAAGGGTATCATTCCGCCGAGGATCATTGGGCTGCCATATTTCACCTTTTCCACCATTCTGCGGAAGAAAACATGGTCAATGACGTCCATGATGTTGTCAAGGTGTATTACGAGGTATGCCTCCATCCCCGATCACATAGGTATCCACTGACTCTCGTTTGATAGATATCGCTGGGTAACTTCATTGAGCATGTTACTAGTAACATTACTGAGAGCTTCATCTCTCACGAGACAGGACCTCTTAGGGGTCTTTCAACAAAATGGATGTTCACATTGACGGAAGAAGAAGTTGAGAAGCTGGCTCGGGAGGATGAACACATCGTCCAACAGCGACATGATCTCGACGAGGTAATTGAGAAGCTTCGAACTGCCGATGGAATTGTAGAGAGTGCTCGTACCCAGACTCGCGGCTTGAGCGACATCTGAGTTCGGCAGATGGGGTACGGAATGCTTTTTGACTTACTTGAACGATGCGTTTTGTAATATTAGGTTCCATTTAGAAAAACTGTCCCTATCGAGTTTCGAAGCCTCCTTGACGCCTTTTGCACCATATAACTGCCCGTCTTGGGGCGTACTTGCCTAGACCGGTGATACCTCGACCTCAATGATGCTGTGAGCCGCCGAAGGCAATTTCCAAATTTTCAACACACTGAATCCAACTGATGCGAGAAGCCGCCGCCAATCCTTCTCAGATCTCTCCCTTCCTGATACCATAGCCATCATTTGAATGTCGAAAGCGGTAGCCTGAGGGTTTGCAGGGCCTTCCACGTCTATGTGGTCATGTATGAGTAACCGGCTGTATCCTGGAGTCATCGCATCCTTTTGCATCTCAAGTATCTTCCGAGCCGGTTCATCAGACCAATCATGAAGTATGGAGTGCATTAGGTATGCCCGTGCACCTAACAGCCGGTTAACCTAGGTATACCTACTAAAGCAATAACGAGACAAACCTTTGATGGGCTGCGGCTTGAAGAAATCGTAAGCCACCTTGTTCATGCCAGATGGAAGTTCCGCCTGTTCTATCACGGATCTCAAGTCTTCCAGGTACACTCGAGAAGCTTACTCGGGGTAAAGGGCGTGGAACTTCAAAATGTCGTGGCCGGTGCTACCCCCGATGTCAACTAGCAATGGTGTGTCAGGGTTTGTGTCGAGAAGCAAGTCTGCAGGGTAGATGTCTGTCCACGCGGGCTGTTGTGCCGCAATGCTTTGTTGTATGATGCTGAACTCTTCCTCCTCCTTGGGATGAGCTTGGTAGTATGACCAGAGGTCTCCATCCCACCCATGGGCGTATTGAAATCCCGAGTGTCTAGAGTCTTCGGGGTTCTTGTACCCGGTTGCTTCGAAGAACTTTGGCAATTTTGCGTAGATTGGCAGGATGAGATTGTAGCTGAGGGTATGATAAGTCTAAAGCCTTTCACGCATACGGCGTTCTTCGAACATACTAGCTACTGAAGAGTCCATTGAACACAGGTGCTGTGATAGCGACGCCAAACTGCGTGGGCTTGAATATGCCAAGCGATGGTTCTTCTAAAAGATGGTTTGCTGCCAGAAGACGGAGAAGTCGGTCTGATTATGCCAGTGAGCGCGGAAAAAGAAATTATGCAGATTCGAACTTACAAAGCAACGCAGGATCGCATTTGCCTCCGATAATCTCCGCCGCTTGCCCGCTTGTAAGCGGTCCGTTTCCGTGCTCGTTCCACCTCTCGAATAACTCCAGATCCTTCACCGCTCTGATAGCAGCCCCAAGAGCCGGCTGTAAAGAGAACAGTCGTTAGGAGTGTATATCACAAAATTTGGCCTGGAATCGAAGCGCCTACTTGAGTCATGTTGAGTCTCACAGCCGTGTCCCACGGCGACTCGAGTCGGACCAACAGAGCCTGTGCTGCCAAGAGAGCTTTCATCCGATCGCCCTCGTTGCTGAAAGATGAAGAGTTCACATGTTCTATGCTGCTGACGAAGGAATCGACAGTAATTTCATGATCGTTGGTTTCCATGTCTCGTTCGGAGGATGTTGACAATGTTGGAAGCTCGGTTAAGGAATTTTCGGCCGTGATGTCTCGGCTGCCCCAAGAAGGAAATTTCCTAAAAGAAAGTCGTGCGCGAATGAGATACTGGAGGCTTCAGACATTTATTGTGTTCTGAACGTACTTTTAGAGAAGAGTATATTGAAGATGGAACGTTGATCAAACGAGCCCGGGGATAAGGCTCAGTTTTGACCACGATGTGGTTGCAAGGATTAGCCCTTGGGCTGAGGGTGCAGTAGTCAGACCACTGTCAGCAATATCACTCCTTGGCGAACATGAGACTCTTTGGTGACTGGTCAGCTTTCATGCACATCAGCAAGCAAAGATACCAGAAATATCGTTTGTGAATCGTGGCTCATGAGTACATTTGCGCATATTGGCCAATAATATCCATGCGTCAAGGTGCATACTCATGAAGCCAGCTAACGGGCAAGAGGCTCGACAACGTAAAATTCATTTGCCACAGAACGTTCAGAATTTGTCTCCATGAGGTGCATCGTTGATTCTGTGTCATTTATTGCTGCCGTGGCTAACCTTCGATTAGCCCAGAAATGCAAGATTGAGAGATTCGTCGTCGGTCGAATTTGATTGACAGCTGTCATCTGAACTCCAGGAGTTGTCTGGCTGATTGGCCCATCATGTCACACTGACTACTTAAGACTCGGACCCCACCGATTGCCCGAGGAACACATCTGAGGGGACTGTTTCAATATGTCTCTGAACTCGTCGAAGCTCATGGGAAATTTCTCGTCAAAGAACAAGTCGCCCAGGAGTGGCTAGGAACCCTCTCGAGGCCACCTAGCAGCCAGAGCTAGTATATAAACAGCACGAACTTGCCACCAGCAGAGCAATTTGACACTCACAATCACTCAGCTTTATTTGAATACTTTTCACTGCCCAACTATACTGATCAAATTAGTGCATTTACCCCTCCTATTCACGATGCAACTTTTCGGGACCAAACTGTTTCTCTTCGTCCTCGTTGGTGAAGCTCTGGCTGGGCCAGTAACTCGAGGTAAGTTCAACAGCTCTGGATCTGCCTGTCAACCGAAGCATAGCTGACTCTTGAGTGATGTAAAGCGAGCAAGGCAGGAAAGCCTTGCACCGCGCAAATCGATGGCTTTGACAGCAAAGGAACTTGTAACGACCTGGGAGAATGCTCTATCGATATTCCGCCGAACATCACCAGCAACGTACCTAGTGGAGATTGCAAATAATCACTATCTGAGAAAGAAACACCAGATCAGTTTCGGCATACCTTTCAGTCTGAACAGGAGAAATTTCAAAGGGGTTCCCAACTCCCTGTGTGACCCCGAGTATAATTTCGATCTCCAACGGCACCCCAATGCAGCCAGCTCGCAAAGTCCCACCAGCGACCCTGAGAAGATTGACCCATACTCTACTATCTTCGCCCCCTTTTATCCGCGGGCTGTTCCCCTCAGAGTTGATTCTGCCACTTCCGCAACGCCTTTCGAATGACATTCCCTGCGCGCTCTTGAGCGGCTTGTGCAACAGCCACCTCCTTCGGCGGCTTGAATTCTGTCCAGAAAAGTGGCGGATATATCCTGGGATAGCCCGTCGCCAAGTTGACGGCTTCTTTCAGCAACATCGCCATGGATTTGTGGTTCTTGAGCAGTTGTGTGATCGAGGGACCGCCTCGCGAAGTCTCTCTTCGAAAGTCTTTACATGAATCTTTCTTGATGTACCCAATCATCAGGGCCCCCATCGCCGTCGCAACGGCCGTAGCGTACGATGACCTGGTAGCCAGCTCAAAGCGATCGCTGACCTTCACGTCGTGATTGGGTGGGTCGGGAAACCTGGGCGTGACGATGCGCTCGCCCGCAAGTTCGGGTTGTCCCGAATAGCCGGTGGACCGAACTCGGACGGGGCAGTGCTACTTGATGACATCCCAATCGCTACCGAGAAGTCGGTTCCAGGGCACTCCTGGAGACCGAAATACTCGTTCGACATCGATGCGAAGATGCTAATGCCAGCGGCTGTTGCGCGACTTGCCGCACGTTTGAGTTGCTCGTCTGGGGAAGAGAAACCGAAGGATAAGTTAAGCACATCGACCTTTTGCTCTATAGGGCAGTCTATCGCCTGAAAAAGCCGGCTTCAAACATATTAGCCAGATTCAGACGTAACGAAAGTCGTGCACAACTCTCCCTGTTGTCTCACACTTACCTTTACCACATTGCGAGGAGTTCGACCTTTCACAAACACCGCCACCAGCAGGAACCTTCCCATCACGGACGTTGCTATCACATACGCTTGCTACATACAGCTGCATTTTTGGCACGAGTCGGTAAGCAGAACAAGGTGAGACACTGCAACATCAAAACCTGTCGGGCAATTGCATTCATCATGAATCTCTGAAAATTGGGAACAGTACATAATCTCATCATTTGCTGAGAGGGCAACGAACAGCAGCGGGTGCACACAGCATGCTCTCGTGAAAAAAGAAGCTCAGTTGATTCAACTGAGCAAAAGAATTGGGCCCTAACCAGGGATCGAACCTGGGACCTCTCCCAGATGTGGGGAATTAAGCCCTAAGGGAGAATCATACCGCTAGACCATCAGGGCGAAGAACATGATTGGATGTCTTACTGGCGGTGTGGAAAGCCCAACTCGAGCTTCAAGTAGTGTACCCGACAAGTCCATCGTTTTTGACTACATTAAGAGAGGCGCAAAGTTGGAGAATGTTTTCCCCTCTTTTCATCAGGAGGAACGGTTGTGATATCATTCATTTAATTAATAATGTACTTTAATCACGCGCCCTTGCGGTGAAGCAATCCGATGCTCTTTTAACACCTGGCATCGTGACGTTTCAACCTTGGGCGCACACCAATGAAGCCCTGCCAGAACCTGCCATAACTATGCATTGTTCCTGAACTCATGGGCGTCTAACGCCGAGTCCTCAGCCATGAGGATCGAAGGGACCGCTCGCCGAGGAACAGAAATAACCTCTACTCAGCACTGACTGTCGCTGTCGACTCGCAGCGACTGATGACTCCTCGCCAACGTCGACAAAGCAACCCAGATTGATTACAGAAGGCCCTTCGGTTACTTGCAGCAGTATCCGGCCTTTCTTTGGTCTCCGTCCCTGCTCGCTTGACTTCGGCAGAGGCTTTTGCGGCCGCCTGAGTTTTGTCTTCGATGGAGCCTGCCCACATGCATTAGTCAACCTCACCTGTCCACGACGCGAGCCCGGACACCACCTTACCTTAGTTAGCAGTAGTTGTTCTTTCGGCACCAAGAAGCATATGATACCTCGAGACGACACTCACCGCAGTGGCCATGTCACATGTCTCTTCCTTGAGGTCGGTCATCAAAGCCAGGATGACTATTTGTCCCCCGAGTCGGGCGCTTATGTTGTCCCCGATGTGCTCTGCAAGCTCGAGAATTTGGATGCTTGGAGTATACTTCCCATCCTCGCGGTCGTGGATGGCACCGAGACAGTCGTCGAGCTTGTCGTTGCAAGTGATGACGCCGGCGTCCACGTAAGCTTGGAATTGGCTGCACAAAATATCATAACGTTGAGCCAGATCCAGGCGAGGCAACGTCAGGGGTGCCAGATATGCCAATCTGACTGGCTTGTCGGAGGAGTCAGGGAGGCTGTGGACTGGCAAGTTGCCCGTTCTCGATGTGCAGATAACCACAACGTTTGGGAACGCTGCGAGAGTGTCGAAACCACTCGAGCAGGTGATTTCATGAAATTTGGTGTCGGTCTCTGGGGAGGCTGTGGCTCTCCTTGTCCAGCTGTAGCTCTCGATTCTGTCAATCAGGACTATGTGTATGGTTGATTGCGAATGGATAGCCTTCGCTACAATGCTCTTGAAGTTGATGCCTGGCACGGGGGCATGCAGATGGATCGGCCTATCCCGGCGCTAAAGTTGGATGGAGATCTTCTGTGCCATAGCCATGGCCAGATCCGAGTTGCCAGATGCAGTGGGACCAAGGATAAGGATGATGGATTCTGCTGGCTTCGAAGCGGGCGGGGTTGCAACATGCGTCATAGTTGCTGGTAGGGTCAGCGGAGGCCAAGTTTTGGCAAGTGCTCAAGACGAGACGCACCGAAGTTCTGTACCCATTGATAAAGCTCCGATCGCAGATGGACGTCTTTGACCGAGCTAGACCATGGTCAGAATCAGCAACTACGAAAGGGATAGAGTCAATAATAATATTCCGAGCGGTAGACAGGGATGTCATACAGTTCCCAGAGACCGTCAAGATTCGAGTTTGGAAGGACGGCGATCTGCTCGTGGTCGTATGTTGCTGGCAACTCGGAGCTGAGTTTGTAGGGGTTGAATTTGATGGCAACATCCCGAGCCGAGACCTTGCGTGTTGCTGGGTCGAGGCCTTGGATGTCGACGACTCGCAAGGACTGGAATATGCCCGGAGGCACGTGCTTGTAGACTGACAATGGGTCAGTATGATTTGGGAGGCATTGGCGACTTCTACTCACGAGTGGTGTCCCTCAAATCTGTTTCAAGGGAGATGACGGCATCGTCGTTGAGCTTATCCGGGCTCAATTCGCGTTCCAGGTGTGCAAGAATCTGCTGCCAGCCCTTGTCGGTGTAGTTGTACTGTCAATTAGGGAGTGTGAGTGGCACTATTCACAGGTGGATGGCTAGGTTGCGCATTCAGTGGCAGGTAAACTCACGCCATCATTAAGTCGAGCCTCGACAAAAGCGGTTCCCTTAGGCCTGGAGACAATGACGAAGTCGTCGGCCCGGCTGCAAGTCACTTGGGCGTCGGCCATGTTGCTCGTATGCCGCGTATTGATGCGATTGAATGGCGCCCGGAAGTATCGTGATTAAGCAACAATTGTAGCAAATGCGAGGGGCAGTGAGGGGCATTGAGGGGCCGCGATGGAGCTGATTAGAAAAAGCCGAAATTTTCGTGGTCGTTGGAGAGATGTGAACCGGGGAGTTTTTGGAGGGGTCGACGTCGTTGAGTTGTGGGCCGACAAAAGCCGTAGCGCAGGGTAGGTGCAGGGGGGCAGCAACAGTGAAAAACTTGCGGAGGCATGCACGCAGATAGGCAGGTACGATTGGCAGATCCTGAATCCAGACCGCCGGTAATTATGGAATTGAATTGAAAAGGCAGGAAGAGGGTGGTGGTGGTGCAGCGGCAGGGAAGGGACGGGCGGGAAGGAGAGCGCTGGGAAGGCAGTGGAGGGGCAGGGACGACCCGGGGAACGGCGGGGGAGGGGCCAGTGAAAAAATAGGCCGGAGCACCTCCCTTTCCACCTCGCAGATTTGCAGTTTGCGGCTTGCGATTGGAAGTTTCCGCAGCCAGCCAACGGCAGGTGCGCCCTGCAGCCAATCCAGACCCGTCGATAACAAAGACTTCTTTCCCCGGCCAAGGTAATGGAGATGAACTCTGCTCAACTTTTGGCTGCAGACCAGATCTCTTTGCGCCTTTTTCACCCAAAGCCGCTGCAGTCGACATTCATTTCATCGACCGAGGTGGAAGCCGCATGAAAGCAAGAGGTTGGTCGACAAGATGACCGCCAACCTTCTCTACTCTACGGCCGGGTACCTCTAAGTCAATACCCGTCCCGGGCCCTAGCTTGGCACTCGGGCGGCCTGCAACGCTGTTTCGTCTCGGTCTCATCGCTATCGCCATGTTTTATTCGGCCTGCTGCCTGCACTTCGCTGTTGTTCGCCCTGCAGCGTCAATGATGGCCTTATTCCCGGGCATCGGCGACGATTAAAGTGTGCATCTGCATCCTGCATCCTGATGTTGACAACCAACCGATTGACGGCAACCTCTATCGTTCTCGTCGCTGGGCGTGACGTCGATGTAAGGCCTGGCCCGCAAACGGCTGCAAGGAGAGGGCCTGAATGCGCCAAGTGGCTGGTGACGGTAGAATGCCCCGTCTTTGTCTGCTGCAGCCCATCCTTCCAACGTCAAGCCAGCTCTGAATCGAACCAGCCTCTCGCAAGCCAAACGGACAGGACGAGGACGACGACAATGCTCGGGGGAAGCCATGCGCCGCAGGGGACCTCGAAAACATTCCGCGTCAGTGCGTCGGCTTCTGAACGGCTCTGTGGCATCAGAGCACTGAAACCTCCCAACTCTTGGGCCGAAGCAGTTGGCCGTCCCGTCTTGTTCGTCCTGTGCTTCCAAATTCCGAAATTCCCAAGATGCAGGTTCGTCTTCGACGACTGCCCTTGGCACAAGTCTCCGCAGAGGCAGTGCTGCTTCACGGTGAGATCTTCGGTGTAGGCGACTAATACCGACCTCAGCAGGAGGCCCGACCGTCGACTAGAGCTAGTCATTTTGCTACAGCCTGCCAGAGGGCTGGGCTTGGCTTCCTCGCGTGTTCATCAGTCGGGCTTGTGTAAGGAAGCCATGCTAGATAAGGCATGGTGCCTCGGGTCGCATGCAGCTCTGCATCTGGCGGCATGTGCCTGCCCTGGCGATGGCTTCAACGAGACGTCGCCGTGGCTTCGGACACCCCGGACAAGCAACCGCCGGATTTTCAAGGTACAACTATGACCATACTAATCTCCAAGGCATGCCATACTGTCTATGGGCTTCTTTTCCATAGGTCATACTGGCCTTTGAGGATTTAGGGCATCGGAAGCAGCGCGCTATGAGCGCAATGCCGCTCACATCAACCGCAGCATCTCGATTTAGAGCTTCGCAGCGTTGGTGGCCCGAGTGCTGGAGCTTGCACCAATGGAGGAGGCGAGTGCCGTGGTCTTCACGTGCTTGCTGTGGCGGCGGTGTGGCCGTTGACGATTGTTACGTAATCAGCTACTTCATCTCGGGCTGCATCATCACGTCACAGGTTCAGATGAAGTGGAGACCTTCCTTCGCGTGCCTGAAGCTCCAGCTTCGGTTTCAACCAACCACCTGCATCACCAGATTCCACCGACGACCGCTTGGCGATTCGACAGCTGCATCTACACCGCCAACACCGAAAGAATATCAACCACCTTGACCGAATCCTCACTATGCACGCGAGATGGACGCGCTGATAGTAAACTCGACAGACAAGTGCGGCGGGAAGGATGCCACAGAGGCTCTCCAGCCGAGCAGCCGTGCCATCATTGTCCAGTTAGCCCTCTCTCTCATCCTCGGCGTCTCGGCTTTTGTCGCATTTTGTGTTCTTCGTCCGCGATGGCCGACTCTTTACGCCGCGCGCAAGCGCCGACTCGACCCCAAGATTGGCTTGCCCACGCTTCCGAATACCTTGCTCGGATGGATTCCCGGCCTGTACCGTGTGACGGAGGAGCAGGTTCTCGCCTCCGCGGGGCTTGATGCATTCGTTGTAGGTGGACGAGCTACCCGAGAGGCAACACATCCCACTAAGCTGACAATGGTAGTTCCTTTCTTTCTTCAGGATGGCCATTCGCATCCTGGCCATCATGACATTCCTCGCCCTCGTCATCCTGCTGCCGATCAACCTCCACTACAAACCAGGCGATCTCAAGCTCGACAACGCGAGTGCCGCCATGTTCGAATGGATGACCACGGGCTCTTACCGCGTCCCATACGGCGACGCGAACATTTACGACGAAGATGGCAAGGTCCCGAAGGCAGATCCAGACAGAAGCTATCTTTGGGCA